TAAATATCATTATTTCTCACTTACACCGGCAAATGTCAACATTCAGCATGCACTGATGGTGAATGTTGAATAAAAATATTTTTATTACGTTAAGACAAAAATGAAACTTTTTAATATGTCAAAATACGAGAAAGCTTAAGTAACAGCACATGTAAGTAAACTGTTGAACCTAAACGAACAGTACATTCTAAACCATTAAAGAAAATAATACAATAATAAACTTACACATAAATTATGTGATTAACATTATACAATCTTATTTATTGCAACAACTTAAAATGTTATGGCACTTTGAATTGCACAAGAGTCCCTTGCTTTTACAACTGCATTTATTTGTGGAACACTTCTTTTTGCAATAACAGCGTGTATAGCCTTGCCCTCCACTTTTCGAATTAGCTGCATCTGCTTCTCTCAGCAATATTTCTTGAGAAGAAATCTCATCTATGGAAAGTAACTTTTCTTTACAAATTACAAACTGATTATGTTATTACGTGATTATGTTCTAATCTGTTAATGATGTCTTTTATTCAGATATCACTGATGTCTTACTGATGACCCCTCTTATCCTCCGCCACTTGACCTGACAAATCAATCCCCACCTCACAAGATCAAAAGAACAAAAACACCATCCAGTGACAAAGTGGGCAGTTTCCACCAAACCATTGCCAGGAAAAGAGGTACAACCTTGTCCTACCTCTGGTTACCCACAAAGGATTTGGCAACAGACTGTTGTCTCTCTGTCAACATTGGCTTTGCGGGTGTTGTTTAAACCTCCACCAAAGCTTATCTGTGCTTGTTGACACATACTGTCAATTGTTCGAATGTATAATAATATAACCAAATATTCGGTCTTTCACCGATGTATTTTGTATGTGACGACATTCACTGGAGAATGTTGACATTCTCTAATTTTGGTCTTTCACAGTAACATATATATACACACACACTTGTATTGCATACATTAATATCATGATTCATCCTAAAAATTTGACACTAAATAAAACCTGTTTTAAATTTTACATCTTTGCAATGCTACACAAGAGATTTATCATTATCATCATATTCTATACAGATTTCCAATTCACCAGCGAAATTATTATTTTTCTGCAATTGTCATTATATCCTATTAATTTTGTTTCTTTGTCTGTTTTATATCAAGTTTTTCTATTTCTATTTCTTGGAGAAGTGAAGTTTACTTTCTGCTTCATAAAATTTGAATACCATTTCAATGAGGTGACTGCAAAAAGATTTGTCAAATATAAAAGCTTTTGAATACTATCTTGCTTATTTCTTTGCAAGTTCAGTTTCTTTATTTTTTACAAATTTATATAAGATACCTATCTTCTTTTTAATGGTTTTCTGTTTCAAACAGAAGATTATGAAAATTACATAAAACTCTTCTGGTAACAAGTAATCTAGTAAAATGTAGTCTTATGGAAGGAAATTCTATACTTACACTTAACAATATAATGATATTTTATTTTATTTATTGACAATATACTCAAAACAGAAAGACAAATCAAAATTAAATTTTCTTTAAGACATCAATAGTAAAAAAATATAATTTAATAAATAAATAAAAACAATATTTAAAAAATTCATCATTAGAGTCATGGCAATCATAACAGCAACTGTAGTTATTACTAACAGATTAATTTACAGAAATAAAATATGATAATTTTTAAGTCTTTTCTTTTAAATCCACAAATTTTATCAAATGACCTGCTGGATAACAGGCTGTTTTAAACCTTAATATAGCCCAATAAATAGCCTACAGATTGTTTGGTAATATTAGTATATTAAGTTGATATATATATTACAATACATTTTTATTTAGAATGATTCTGAAAATAATTCATCAAAATTCTGTTATTTCAATAGAGAATATTAAATTTGGATATTTTATTTTTAAAAATGTTGAAAAATAAACCATCAAAAAATGTTAAAATTAGACTGATACTTATCTGTTCTCACCTCCTCCTATATAAATTTCAATTAAGAACAAAATGATATGACAGACTGTGTTCATATTTTGACCTATTTCACTTATAATTCTTGTGACGTTCCCTTAAAAATATGACTTTAATCAACTAAGTGTTTTAAATCTATAGTTTGAAATGATAAGTGCAGAAATTACACATAAAACATCTAATTATTTTGAATCCTTTTGATATGAATATCTTATAACAAATATTCGATATAAAAAAAATGTAAAGTTAAATGTGTTTTTATCTACTTCATTAATTCATTAATTAAAACATATCAGCATTTAAAAAAGTAAGTTAAAAATTTTGAGAATAATTAATAGAACAGGAAAAAATATTAAATCAATGTTTATGTTAAGTGTGAAAAATAAATAATTTCACTAT